CGGTAGGTAAGTGAGACATGTATTAGACATCCTAGCGTGAAACAACAGAAACAAAAGGAAACAGAAGGGAGACAAGGTGGACACAGTGACCAACAAAACGGGAAACAAGAAGGGACACAAAAGGAGACAGGAGGGAGACAAGGCGGGCACAATGACCAACAAGAAGGGAGACAAGATGGACACAATGACCAACAAGAAGGGAGGCAAAAGGAAACAGAAGAGAGACAAGACGGACACAATGACCAACAAGAAGGGAGACAAGAAGGGAGACAAGACGGACACAGTCACCAACAACAAGGAGACAAAAGGAAACAGAAGGGAGACAAGATGGAGACAGTGACCACCAAGAAGGGAGACAAGACCGGAGACAGAAGGGAGACAACGCGGACACAATGAAAGGAGACAAGAAGGCAGACAAAAGGAAAAAAGGGAGACACGACGGACACATACGGACACAGTGACCACCAAACAGGGCGGACAACAGCAGTGACAGACCTGGGAGACAAATGAACAGAAATGGGCGGACACCAGCAGCGACAGATCTGGGAGACAAATGAATAGAAATGCTAAATGGCCAGCGGAAAAGGGCGGACACCAGCAGTGAAACAAAGGGCGGACACATCTTAAGAAAGAATTGAAAACCCCTAACAGTAAACTGTTTGGGGGAAAACACTTGTCAAATACCCATCCACCAAGACATACCCGAAAAGCCTCTGGCCTGAGAATAATCCTCTTTTCCAGCAGGTTCAATGGAGGGCTTCCATCAATCGCAGCCTGCAACAATTTGGCGTTGGTCTCCATCAGCTCCATGACGACCTGACAAAAGACACGAGAAAGACAAACTAGTAGCGTCCTTGCTCCTAGTAGTAAGGCCAGGAGCCCCTAGTAGCGTCCTGATTAGGTCAACCGTCAGTGATGCTTCAATTGTCAATCAGGCATGATAATGACAAATCTGGATGTGAACTCAAGCCAAGATGCATACGGCTCACTGGCCTTCTTGTCAAAGCTGTATTCATTCCACCTAAGCTGCCACAAGAAGTCCATCACAGCTTCCCACAATTGGTGCAAGGGAAACCCTATGCCCTAGAACGTTCGGAAGAGAGCTTGTGCTGTTACAAATATAGCTCAAATTCTCCACCCTCTGGACGGTACGCCCCTGCTTGAGTCTGCCAAGCGTCGCAAAGTGTGAATCTTCAAAGTACGATCGTTCTTCATCAAAGTCATCGAAAGTGTCCAAGTAGTGTTCAAAACCTGAGGAGTCAATACTTCCACTTGCAAGCTACCGGCATCCAGCATCCGCTCAAGGAATGTTCACTGGAGGCAAGCAGCCCGTGTGGTCCTCGTAATATCGTACAAAGAAACTGGCACCTCAGAATTGCAAAGTTCCACGCTCAAAGAATTGAAACAATAGAAGCTGGAGGCACAACATGAACTTTCTTCCTCCCTTGAAGCATGTGTATAAAACTTTTGACGTCTTCACGCATGTGGCAAAAAGCAAAGGCAATATTCACAATACTTTGAATGGCGGGACGCCTCTGGCATTGTACGATTGGTCCTTCTCATTGTGAAGGCATTGCAGGGACCACTGAGCTTCCCGGTGCAGAGCGTAGATGTGGCGGTTCTGCGTATGCACCTCCAAGATTCAAAAGGGCAAATGAGGAGATCCCTTGCTAGACATGCGGATAATCATTAATCGCTCTGTCTCATCAATCTCTCACAATAACTCATCTGCTTAGGTAGCCGATTTCAACAATGACCTGTTGAAAAAGCACAAGAAACCAACAAACTAGGAGCAAGGACGCTACTAGGGGCTCCTGGCCGTACTACTAGGAGCAAGAAGCTACTAGGGGCTCCTGGCCATCTACTAGGAGCAAGGACGCTACTAGTTGTCTTTCTCGACATGGTTGTGTGTAGTAATTAGGTGTCAAGGCACTGCCGGCAGCCCTTTGAACTTTGAGGTCTTTATTGCCACTTGTCCAAGATTTCCTTTGACCTAAGCATCAAACATCAAACTGGGATGAGATCCCTCCATGGTGCAGGCATAAGAATCGCGGTTCATATGCACAAACACAAGGACAAAGAGCTTGAACATGTAGCCCATCCTCTGAACCACTGAGAGGCGGGCATCCCGTGCTTTATACACGGTCGCCAGGCCACCTTCTCCTAGTTTCTCCTGGTCTCAAATTTCTCGGAACATTTGCAGGAAATAGTATTCGTTTCACCCTACCTTCCCTATCTCCTCTTACCAAATTATCCCATTATCTCATGCTTGCGGCCTGATAGATCCACCGTCCACGGTTGGTAGATGGGTCATAGGCCTCAACATCTAGCGGCTAGCGACGATCCAAACGACCAAATTTACTTCTCTTTGAAGAAAAAGCTTCGCTCACATCGCTCTCTGCGCTCTTCTTTCGCTAAGCCACGTCTGGAAGGTCAAAGAGAATGGTTAAGACCTGACAGATGCTCCAGAAGTTTTTCAGCCTACTACCAGCCGAAACAGTAATGGCCTCAATCCAAAATAAGCAATGCCCTCAAGTTAGAAGCAATGGCCTCCAACCTACTAGCGATGGCCTCCACATAGTGAGGTCTTAAGTAAGGGTCAAGACCGATCGGCTCAAGCAACAACTCCGGGGCTCCCACTGTGCGCGTGTCCGTCTCTTTGGCCTTCTCACGGAAAGGCAGTAAGATCTGCGCGCCATGCTGCAAAACCTTCGAGGCATGATGCGTATGATGCCAAATGGTGAAGACATGTGCAAACAAACCCGTCAATTGCCGCTCTGTCCCAATTCTGATCTCAATCTTGTCTCGCCTCTTCGTCTCCTTTGTGCATTTCCTTGTAATCCTTGTCAGATTTTGAATGACGATAGCTCCGAACTCCAGTGCCATTTCTGGAGCTGTCATGGATCTTAAGGATGATGTCTGAGCCTCAAAACCAATGGCTGAAAGGACACTGAAGGACCTGCCAAAAGGATCACAAAGACAGGAAGACTCTGTGAGGCCAGGACCTTTTTTGTGCCTGACACGGTCTCCAAGCAACGAAGCGCGAAAGCGAATGACTAAACTAAACAAAAAGAGGAGTCAACATTGGGAAGTCTATACTCAGCACATTTCTGCTTAGGTCGTTTAGTCTAGCAACACAGACCTGAAATATCCACATCTGCTTTGCCACTTTTCTCACCAAGCGGCAGAATCAGTTTGCAATGGTTGAAGGACACCCCAGTCTGCAACATCCGCACCTGTGGCACTGTTGTGCAACAAACACCGTGCCAAAAATCTTGTCTCATCGTGACTCATCGTGTCTCTCCCACGAGTCTGCCTGGCATTGCTTTGCTCGGCCGATTTCTATGTAGGAGCCATCCCCCTTCAAATGGAACGCCTGCTTCCTGGAGCCAAACCTCAGAGCACAGTTGAAGAGCCGTAGCAGTTCCCTCTTCGATACATTCGCTCAGTTTCCCTAAACATCTAGGAACCACGGGGGCTCATAAAAAAAGGCCCTTTACCTTCTATTTTCCGCCTTATTTATTTTCATACAGAGTCATATATATATATATGTACATACGGATTTTACCAGCTTGGCAGGGAGTTTTTCTCGTTTACATTGAACCTGACCCTATTGTGGCTAGTGTGTCTTCGTGTCCAAATATGCTCTCACGGGATCAACCGGCTTCGGCACCTACTTTGCTTAAGGATTCCACAAAGCCAAACTTCGCCCAGGCACGGACCACCTTCCAGGAAGAACCGCAGCTCTGCTGCCATGGTTCGGCTCTGCAGAGCAGTGTAGAAGATTGTCCAAGCAAAGCTCTGCACTGTCAGAAATGCAATTTTATCGTTATCATACAATGTGCATCACATGATTCTCATACAAAGTGATTATGTACTGTCTGTAGTATTATATATGTCGAACGTTTAACTTAACTCTTCGATGCGCGCTGGCGCTCTGAGAGTAGCTCCGGTTTCGGGGCTTGATCAAAAGTACGAGTGCCGCATCTCAGGCTCGAGAGAAAGCCGAGAAACCAAGGCCTTCAAAGCTCTGAGAGCCAAAACGTGTCCGTCTCTGAGTTCCAGTCCAAGCCCATGGACATGGAAACCTCTCGACGTTTCAAGCTCAAACACCACACCTGAACACTTCAAACCCCCACAAAACCACCGAGCATCTGCATTTCATGCCAATCCATCGACTACATCACCATCTGGGCCCTGAACGAAATGCGAGTCTATTGCTCCCAAATATCAACAGGTTGGAGAGCGGGCTTGAAAAGGAAAAACACACCTGATCGTGACCTTCTTGCCTCTGCTTGCTCCTCACTTCCCATGGTCAGCCTCGCAACAGTAGTCCCAGCGACAAAAAGACTGCTCATTCCCAACCCACCGCAGAAGCATCACAACGCATACATCACGACATATTATTGTATATATTGCATATTGAATATATATAGTAATATTGTTGATCGGAGGTTGAGCATGATGCTCCCATGAATCCTCGCCTCCCCCTTGAGGGGTGACAGCCACAAGAAGGAGCCCTGCGGAGCCACACCGCCTCCCTTGGGCCAAAACTGGGCCAGAGAAAGGCAAAGAGTTAACAAACTTAAGTAGACTTGAACTCCAACCTAAGAGCGATGGCCTCCAATCAAACAATGTTGTGACTAAGATATCATTCCAAGTTTGGCGTTGCTCTGCAAAGTCGCTTTGTAAATGGTCGAGGACCTGACGATCCTGACCTCCAGCTTTCTTTCACACCTTTTCTTTCAAAGAAACCGTTAAGGCGGGTAGAATAGAAAAACAGCTTAAAGAAATTTTTCCTCCAAAAGGTTGCAAAAACGAACGTTAGGGTTCTGCAAGGAAACCTCTGTTCTAGAATTCCCTTTCTCTTGTTTTTCCCTTTTGGATGGCTGGACCTATAGCCCACACAGTATAACGCACTGCCATGCACAAAAGCAAGCTCGATCTTCTTTCTCAATCTTTTGCTCAGACCATGTCGGATTGTCCTCCCTTATCGGGATCAGGGCTTGCAAAGGTGAGATTCTGACCCAATCTCGCAGCTTTGGCGGATTTAGTTGACAAAGCAAAATGCCCTTGGCCAATCTGCTGGGGAAGGGTTGAGACATCAAACATTGCAAAAAAGCCATCGATGCGCGTCCCATCCCATTGTCCGTAGCACTCCACCACTGGACCGCTTTCCTGGCTCTCCCGCCAACGCACGTTGCCGTCACTGGTATCAAAGGCTCCTATGACGTGGAACGGACCATCCGGTCCTTCTCCCAAGCCTTCCAAGCGCCCTCCAGCCCCAAAAGTCAAATCATAAAACCTTGAGGACCCATATGCCTTCTCTGAGGCTACCCATTGAGCTTTCCATTCATTTGGTACACTTGGAGGCTCTGGAGAGTGGATCACCTTCTCTGCGAGTTCCCATCGTTCGGTCTCGAGTTCCCACAATGCGTTCGAAACGATCATGGGTGGCGGGATTGGCTGAAAGGCATGCTTTAAAGCATACAGGATCATTGCTGTCGCGCCTACCACTACAAGAACAATCACCAGCCACCACCATCCGATGGAAGCATTCTCCACACTGTTCTCATCAAGCACCTCCTGCTCAAGAACTAGGGAGTCTACAGTAAAATTTCTGCCAGGTCGAGCACCTCTGGCGAGTAGATCACTCCGGAGCTGCTCTGAGAAGGTGATTGCGGTTTGGGTCTCAATGCGGCGCCGTAGACTCTGCAAGGTTGCGCGCATGGCATCTGCGCCTTCGGGAAAAGAGGCCAGAGAAAAAGAAGTTCGCCAGACCATGGTGGAAACTCCACCACCGCCAGCTGTCACTGACAAGACTTCAGCACTGACCCTGACAGCAACTGCTTGTAGCAATGCTTGAAAAGCATCCGATACAGCACCTGCTGCTTGCTCTTCAGACATCACATCCGACGTGAAGATCAGGTGACCATTTATCCAAATAAGCCCATCTGGAAGAGTGGTACTTGAGGTGGTGGAACTCGATGATGATGAGGTGGTCGTAGTGGAAGAGGTTGTTGATGAGGTTGTTGAGCTCATCATGGCAGTACATGGTGTCCACGAGGTCACTTCCGAGGTCGAAGAGCTGGAAGTTGAAGAAGTTGAAGATGAAGAAGATGTGGAGGTGGTGGAAGAAGTTGAAGATGAAGAGGTTCGTGTTCTAGATGTGAAGGTCCTCGAATATGAAGTTCGAGAGGTTGTGGAGACGGATGTTGTTGTCCAGGTGGTGCATGTGGTTGTCGTGCTGGAAGTTGTGGTTGTCGTGCTAGAAGTGGTACTCTCCTTTGGCATCGTCTGCATTGTGCAGTTCTCACCCTGTGCTAAAGGGCAAATTATTGTGACGACATAATCGTCACAATCAATGGTCACGACAGTGGCATGTTCCAAGTTGACAGTGGAGGTGACGCACTGCTGAGAGCACACTAGCAACCCCAGAAAGGTCAAGACCGCAACAAGTCCGCGGATCGACATTCACATGGCATTACATCACAAGAAGGGAACACCGCAATTTGGACCTCGGTTTTCAAGGCCGTAGCTAAGGCGCTTAAGCCCAGCTAAAGTGCCGGCCCAATGACTTTTGTCAGTACATGTTCCATTCCAAATCATCTTGCATAGCATAGGGTTACGGATCCCTTTCTGGTAATTATACTGATTTGTGAAGCTTGCATGACTTTTCATCTTTATGTACTGGACAGATTCAAGGGGTTAGCGCCTGGTCCTGTGAGAACACACCGAAGGTTGTGTTCAACAGCGCTTTACTTACTCTTACTCAACGGTTGTGCAGGGTTTGGTTTCCTTTGGCTTGGCTTGGCTGTTGGGCTGGCTTGGATTGTGTGTGTGGTCTTGTCCAGTCTTGTTCATGGTTCCAATGCTCCAGGCGTTTGAAAGGCTCACCACTGCTTGCAAAAACCAATACAAAACCATCTCGCATGTTGAATACCCTGAATGTTTGGGTGAAAGGTCACCAAGCAGTTTGTCTCTTTCGTTTCTCTTTACCTCTACAGTTGGTCGGTGAAGGGAGCTAACTGGTGAATCTGAGTGGTTCACGGATGACATTAGGTATGTAGACTCATTGCTTTCATTTTCTTGCACAGGGAATTGTATGGAACAAATCACGTTACCACATGGCACTAGAACAGGGTAGGTGGCGAGTCCCGTGGACAAGAAAAGACTCCACCTTGTATCATAGCACCTCTTCCTCATTTTGGCCACCCGCTTGTTCCATGGCACGTACGCTGGAAGCGCGTGAAACTGGAAAGCACGGCTGAGCAAGAGTTTCTTGTTCATGGACAGGAAGTTTTCCTTTCTCTTTCTCACAGTTTGTGTTCTTGTCGGTTTGCATCACAAAAAAATGGGAGAACCCAGGCTGCGGCCGCATCTCCGATTCACAGAGGGTGGCCGCGAAACCCCCACCCCTCGAAGGTATGTGGCTCGTTTGGAAGGCCTACCGCCCCCTGAAATTCCTTACGGCTCACCTTTTACGGCTTGTTGAAAAAAAGGACAGCATAATGTGTACATGTTCCAGGCTGGTCGTTTCCACAAATGAGGGCTGACGCTGCTTTTGAAAGCTCTCCAGCGGTGGTTGATTCGCTTGACGTAGTCGAGACCGATGAAGAGCAAGATGTCACTGCAAACATGCCGCAACCGGAGGCAGAACGACTTGTTGTAGCGTCCTTGCTCCTAGTAGCGATGCCAGGAGCCTCTAGTAGCGTCCTTGCTCCTAGTAGCGATGCCAGGAGCCCCTAGTAG